TTATATTTCCTAGTAATTAATATTTTGGCTAACCTCTTAGGATGAAAGTACAAGGATGTATAGAAAAGTGATTGATTTCAGAGGTACACCAAATGAATTGGGTGCTCGTGTTCTTGACCGTTATAAAATTTCCAAGGCACGTATAGTGATTATGTCTTCTTTGTCTTCTTTCATGCTCTCCCATCCTTCTCAAAGAAATTATTTATGTTTTTGAACTTCTTTGGCTGCAGATACGAGCTGAAAAGTTGTCAACCTTGCACCAGATATATTCTGAAAATAAATCAACGAGTGATGCTTCTAATACATCTGGCTTGAAACACATAAAAGAGCTTTTACTAGGAAAACGGACAAATCATGCTTTCCGCATGGTTGTCATTGGGGATTCCCATATTAAAGTGGATGAAATTGGTGTGCCAGTTCATATCGCAGGGAACCTGTTGGTACAGGACCATTTAAATGTGTGGAATTGGGATAGACTAGAACCCTGCTGCGATTTCATGCTTTATCAGAAGGGTGAAATTTCTGTTCTTAGAAAGGGTAAGAAAATTTGTATTAGGTCTAAGTACTCACTGGAGGGAGGAGATATTATATACAGGCCTCTCATTGATGGAGATATTTTGTTGATTAATAGGCCTCCTTCTATTCACCAGCATTCCCTTATTGCTTTATATGTCAAAATTCTTCCAACAAAATTTGTCCTCTCTGTCAATCCTATTATTTGTTCTCCACTTCGAGGAGACTTTGATGGAGATTGTCTTCATGGTTATGTTCCTCAATCAGTAGATTCTAGAATAGAGTTGAATGAACTTGTTGGTCTTGATAAACAACTGATCAATGGACAGAGTGGTCAAAACCTCTTGTCCCTTAGTCATGATAGTCTAACTGCAGCACATTTAATCCTGGAGGATGGGGTTTTTCTGAATAAGTTTGAAATGCAACAGCTGCAAATGTATTGTCATCGTCAGTTGCAATTGCCAGCTATTATGAAATCAGCTTCGTTAGAGACTTCTTTGTGGACAGGAAAACAATTATTTAGCTTGCTTTTACCTTCAGAATTTGAGTTTGTTTTTCCATCTAACAACGTCCACATCAGTAAAGGAGAGCTTATAACATCTCCTCGCGGGTCTTCATGGCTACGTGACAGCAAAGGCAACCTGTTCGCCTGTCTTCTCAGACATCACCGCTATGAAACTCTTGACTTCCTGTTTGCCGCACAGGAAGTTCTTTGTGAGTGGTTGTCAAAGAGGGGATTGAGTGTTTCGTTGTTAGACCTTTGCCTTTCTTCTGATCCATACTCTCAGAAGAATCTTATTGACGAAGTCGTGTGTGGTTTGCAAGAAGCAGAGAGGTTATCAAATATAAGGTTACTTATGGTGAGTTATAACCAAGATTTCCTTGTTGAAAGCTCTGAAGAGAATGAAAATGCAGTGAATTTTGGAAAGAAATACTTGTCTATTGCACAGCAGAAGTCAGCAG